CGGTGTTGAGAATATTTGGATCGAAGAGAGATGAAGTGACAGGAGGCTGGAGAAAACTGCATAATGAGGAGCTTCATAACTTGTACTCTTCTCCAAGTATAATTAGACTGATCAAGTCAAGGAGGATGAGGTGGACAGGGAATGTAGCACGAATGGGAGAGACGATGAATACCTATAGGATATTGGTGGGAAAGCCAGAAGGAAAGAGGCCACTGGGAAGACTAAGGCGTAGATGGGTGGACAATATTAAAATGGCTCTTAGAGAGATGGGATGGGATTATATGGATTGGATTGATCTGGCTTAGGATAGAGACCGATGGAGGGCTCTTGTGAACAAGGTAATGAACATCCGGGTTCCATAAAATGCTGGCAATTTTTTGAGTAGCTGCAGATTTGGCTTCTCCTCAAGAAGGGCTCAGCTGAGAGACTGAATAAAGCAGCGATTCACAGGAGACATACAGCATGTACATTTCATAAGCCTACTTACTTTCCCTCAGGAAGGAAAGCAAACTAAAACACTCTTTCTCTCTTTCAGAAGGACTATCGAAATGAAATGGGAAAGAGAGTCGATCGAAGGTAAATCTACATTTTGCTGTCAATTTTAGCAAATGAAGGTCCAGTAAGAATTAAGATGATGCATGTGGTGTTATTAATTTCAAAGTACAGTACTGCTTGCCAGTTGAATCTGGTGTCAAGGAAACCACCGACGTACGCTAGTGACTAAAAAGAGTAAAATTCTGTTTACCTAATCACCACGCCATAAAGACTTATGGGGAAGTGGAGGTAAAGCACCACTTATACTTAAGCTCGACGCTCGATGGTTAATTTACCCTAGAGAAATCTCCCCCCCCCCGGCTTTATCCATTTAAGTATCGGTCTAATGGATCCCAGAAGTTGTCTGAACTTGGTATCGAAGAGAAAACTCCGTGACGGGAAACAACCAGCCCGTCATACAGGAGTTTCGTTGTATGGATGCTGTGTCTCAGTGTTATGAATACGATGCTTCGACACGAGTACGAGTTGCGATAAATAATTAATTAAGAACTGGGGCCCATTTTGTTATTTCTGACATTGATTTTGCTGCATAAAAAGGTAAAGTTTCCCTGTGCTTAACTAATTAAGCACAACGCCATGAAGGCGTATGGGGGAGTAGATGTATAGCTCTACATTTTCTTGACCTCGGCGCTAGTTGGAGGTGAGTGGACAGGTTCACGCCCCGGCCGTTTTATACCCGAGAATAGAGCCCCCATTACCCATTTAATAGGAGGTTAGGTGGGCCGCAGAGCAGGTCTGGACCATGTGAAAAAAATTCTTTAACCTACCGGGACTCGAACTCTGACCCCTCGGTCGTCCAGCCCGCAGCCAGTCGCTATACCGGCTCGCATTTTGATGCATTGCATTGTTAATATGGAATGGTGTACTAGTATAGTGAAGAACTGCGCTGAGAGCTAACACTGAAAATAAGTTTACGTCGTCATTATATCTTCTAAATTTTTATCGCATCTGATGTTAAATTATTTTGCACTCAAGGTTTCTTTATGGCGGTCAGAATGTAACATTGGCCGCACATAGATTCAAACTATTAATCCGATAACAATCTTTTGTAAAATAATCGCTGTACATTCCGAAAAACTAAATGTTAAAGTGGGGGTGGATATTTTTAACATCATAAGAATTTGTTGTAGGAGAGACAAGTTAGTTTTCGGTTTATGTTTAGGCTTGAGAAGTTTTATTCTTGTATGTAGTTTGATAAGCAAACGCATTGCAAGTATTAAACTCAAGGTTGACCATTACAAGTAATGTTACATAATATTATTAGAATTATTTACTGTAATTGTTTTCATATCTTCAGATGACATTATCTTAAATGGGACTGTGTAAGTTTACTAGTAAAGCCATATTTGACTAAGCAACTATCCAATATTGTTAGCTTGTCAGAATATTTCTTTGCTAGAGGAAATGTGTACAGGGATTCATTTTATATAAATGTAAATGATTATATCTTTTAAATAGAAGTGTTTATTGTGAGAGCTATATTCATTAAGGGATTAATGCCAGTTTTGCTGGAGTAGATGTATTTTAAATTAAATCGCTTTACAGAAATATTGATGATATTTCGAATGAAATTCTGATAGGTAGACCGCAAACCGGCATGCGTCAAGACATGTAAAGGTGGCCGCACACCAACTACGTCAAGACAAGCATCAAGACATGAGGCAAAAAAACGCAATCTCGCTTCATTCGTGATTCGTCAGCATGTTGCTGACGTCATGACTCAGACCGGTGTGCGGCGATTTTCATAATCTCATTCAACTGTACTTCTTCGTTTGCGTCATGTCGCAGACATCGTATCTTGACTGTTACATGTCTTGACGCAAGCCGGTGTGCGACCTACCTTATGTGTACTGTGGAAGCTATTCTGATTAAGGGATTGGCCCTAGTTTCGCATTTCTTAACAGCTCTGTTACTTCTCAGAAATGTTAATGGCGATTTTTGAACGAAGTTCTCTATGTGTTTTGTAAATGTCGTATGTCGCCGCCCATTGTCTTGCACTTGTTACAGATCCAGAGAAAATGGGTGGAACTTTCTGCCCGCAGGATTTGGCTACTGGTCTGATCAGAATGTTGGAGTGCCGCCTCTGTCGCAAGCTCATGAAGCCCCCAATTATACAGTGCAAGTCTGGGCACAGTATCTGCAGAACCTGTGATCTGCAGCTGGGTTTGGACCCTTGTCCAATTTGCCGACAGAAGAAGACAGACGTACGCAACTTGTTAGCCGAGGAAATGTGCCAGAAGATACTGTACCCGTGCATGAACACCGGATGTTCCGAAAGTTTCATGTTAATTGATATGCTTCATCACGAACCGAACTGTAAATTTCGTATGTTTGACTGTCCCATCAACAATCTATGCCTCTGGAAAGGCATGGTCTGTAATATTTTGAAGCACGCCGAAACAGCGCACGGCACAAATGTTTGGCATGAGGACTCCTGTCGTACCACGGGCAATGACTTCTCGGAAAGTTTCGTAGAAACCTCCCTGGTTTCATCCCTTGGAGAGCTTTTCATTTGGAACTGCGAATTTTCCTTGGAGAACAGAAAATTCTCGGGAGCTCTGAAATACATTGGACCTAAGGAAAACGCTTCAAAATTTACTTACACTTTTAAGTTATCCAAAAATGAGAACAATCAGGCTGTGAAAATGAAGAATGTTGTTTTAAGCGAGAATGAATCATTTGGAGACGTTTTTCGCAAGATGAACAATTGCATCACGTTAGATTACAATACTCTTCTCCGACGGTTTATGAATGGAACGAGGCTTAATTACAAGCTCTGTGTTAAAATTTGCTCTTGAAGTCTTGGGAGTAAGCTTATAAATAATCCTATTGTGGGGTTCAGAATACCATTTGATTCTACACGAAACAATCTGAAGAAGGCAAAATCTCGAGGAATTGATAAAACCTAAAAAGAATTATATTAATTATAAATAAACTTTATCTACAAATGAAATCGCCCTCCATCTTATCTCTGATTCATTTCTTCAGGTTAAGTTCAGGGAGTGTTCCATGTATGAGTCTCCATGTTGCAAACACGCAACAGAAAATGGCGGATAAAAAGAAGGAAGACGAAAAGATTAATTCGAAGTATTCGCGGTCCAGCAAAATACATGCAAAACTTTCGCGCAAACATCAGCTCATACGGTGAGTGTGAAAGCTGATCTAACGTGCTTTAAAATAAAACGATTTCTATGGGATTGAGGGTTACTGGGCTTTACATTCCACTCTGATGAATCATGTGATACGTTAGCAGATAACAGAGTTCCAATATAGATTCTGAGTCCGTGTGTTTGTGTATGTAGGAAGATGATCTTTATTGACTACAGCAAACAATTTTAATTAAAATGTTTTGAATAAATAATTTTATATGTGTTGAAGCATGACATAAGTGTAGTCATTATATCTGTTCTTTGAGTATTTTTTCTGGATTAAATGTTCTCTAGAACATTTAAGAGATTTTTTTACCCAGGACGCAACTTCCGGTTCCTGCCCGAAAAGTAAATCTTCCCAGAAACTTTCGACATGTCTCTAAATTCCTGCGCATGGTCTTAAAAAATGAGGTCGTTACACTGCAAAAACAATGAAACGGGGTTGTTTCTAGATTTCCTTGTAAGTGTACGCATGTCCGTTATAAAGTCTGGTAAGGCTTGAATGTCACGATAGAGCGGTTGGCACTCCTGTTGCCTGTTCGGGAGCCAGCGTGCCTCCTACCTTCACTAAAATTTCCATGCCTTTCTTCATTTACTCCTGGAAATTGCTTAGATAGTACCTCAGATTATTTTATTAACTTCTTTTCTACATAACTTTTGAATTATTTACGTGTCCTTTCATTTCAGTCTGTTATACTTTTGAGTTCAAGATGTCTTTATATAAATCATGGATGCATAAATTAAAACAATTAGGCCCGTATTCTGACTCGTATCTCTAACTGCAGAAATAAGTATGAATACATTGATTTATATTTTATCGTATTTTGTAATTGCGATGCAATATTTTTCTGGAAATATATAATTCTTTGTACGCCTATAAAACCCAAAGGTGTCAACGTACTTAAATTGTGTAAGATGAGCGTAACTAGAGAATTGTGACAGAGTATTTAGAGAGCTGGTAATCTGTCACTTGGTCAAGAACTGCCGTGTTCACAAGGGTACAACAACAGCCCATATCGTGAGGCAGACGAAACCAGTCCACATTCTCAAACCCCATTTCTCCAACATCTCTATATTTTCTGTTCATATACCCCTGTCTCTGAAGTTTTTTTTCTTATATAACCTTCCTTAAGCTAATTTGTACTGACTGCGCTGTGATTGGTTAGCTCAAAAGAAGTGATACTATCAAGATTTCAGCGTGTGTTTGTAACAGAATCTGATATTAAATGTATTAGAGTTTACTTTCAACCCGTTAATCTGCTGATCGGTAGTCATTATCAGGTATCTTCTTGTTAAAAATTTTTAGAGAAAAAATATTTGCACGAAAACTTTCACATGCGCGCACACAAACACACACAGTGTAAATATTGCTTCACGGAGAAGCGTCCTCCTTGAGAACATGTGGCTCCATATTTACTACAGAAAATGGCAGCGATTCTGTGAAACATGAAGGTTCATTCTGTGTTCACAAGAGCTCACCACTAGACCTCATCCTGATGAATTCAGTTTAGTTCACACTCTAACATTACAATTTATTATAATCGATATGAGTTTTAAAATTACGAAATTATAATTTTGTCTGTGGTTTTGTATGGGTGTGAAAATTAATGTGTGCCATTAAGGGAGGAACAAAGACTGAGGGTGTTTGAGAACAGGGTGTTGAGGAGAATATTTGGACCGAAGGGAGATGAAGTGACAGGAGGTTGGAGAAAACTGCATAATGAGGAGCTTCATAACTTGTACTCTTCTCCAAGTATAATTAGAATGATCAAGTCAAGGAGGATGAGGTGGGAAGAGCATGTAGCACGAATGGGAGAGAATAGGAATGCATATAGGATATTGGTGGGAAAGCCAGAAGGAAAGAGACCACTAGAAAGAGCAAGCCGTTGGTGGGTGGATAATATTAAAATGGATTTTAGAGAGATAGGATGGGATTGTTATGGATTGGATTGATCTGGCTTAGGATAGGGACCAGTGGAGGACTCTTGTGAACACGGTTATAAACATTTGGGTTCCATAAAATTTTCGGAAATTCAAGAGGTGCAAAACTAGAGGCTTCTCAAGAAGGGCTCAGTTCCGTGAAGTTAGTTTAATTACTAATTTTAAAATTACCTTTTCATTTACTCAAAAGTCCCCGTTGTGTTTATAAAACCAGACTTTTTATTGAATTTCGCCTGTGTGTGCGTGCGTGCGTGCGTGCGTGCGTTCGTGTGTGTTGAAGTGATGTTCTATAATCTCCATTAGGCGGAGTGTCCAAAATTCTGTTTTTCGAAGGACTCTTTCTCCTGAATTTTAAATTTGTGAGACCCATAAACGGAAACAATTAAGGACATTGGGCAACTTTCAAATCTACACATTTCATTATGTTTTATTCGCCTCGTAGATTCTTTAATTTCCGAATAATGATAATTTTGCCAGCCATTTTGTAGCGGAAATATGTATAGATACTACTGCATTCTGCATGACCTTAATTTGCTCCATTCGCTCTTGTTATATATCGGTACAAATTCCGACTAAATCTGCTTCCAATTAGTACTCAGTCTGCATTTATCATTTAAGAAAAGAAAGCAAGCCCATTATATTGCCTTGATCTGTGTGTCTGCCTTTCAGCATACGAACCAACTGACGATAAATCTGGTACGAAAGTTATGACATTGGAAGCCAAGCCAACCTTGCCCTTTTTAAGTTTATAAATATTTAATGACAACATGACGGATGCACTCAATCTTTAACGGGTCCTGCAATTATTGGTAGTAATAGAATACGAAAAATTATGTTTATTTATAAGGCAATATTTTTGTAGAATTTAAAATAACACGACAGTAATGCTGATATTTTTGTCTAGTTTCCAGTTCGATAGCGATAGCTAATGGGTTATTAGCGGCAAGGTCAATAAAATTCTGCATGAAGACAAGTTATGAATATTCCTACAAATTTTATAGAGGATATCATCACTTAACAAACTTTTTATCCGTGCAATTCTTTGAGGTTATATCCAACAGATTCTGCCTACATTAATCTGTTGGATATAATGTAGGAAGAATCTGTATTTACATAATATTTTAACTACTACTACTACTAAATAATAATAACAATAATAATAATAATAATAATAATCTGTAACATGTGAAACCGCAAGCAATAAGAATTTGCTCTAACAGGATTCGATCTTAGGACTGTCTATGCACGACTTCCCTACTTAATTCCATGAGCTACATTTCGTGTGTTGGATTATAAATTGTCATAATCTATATATAACATTAAACATACGATTTGTAGGAATTAAATTTTTTGCCGTACGAAGGTGGCTGAATGAGCTATGACTGGAATTTCTTCGTAATTATTTTCAAATTCGGCTACGTTCCTTAAGCTCGCTACCGGTTTCTCCCTAGCACTCTTTTTAATCATCTCCCTAAATTTATTTTTGCCTATGTTGCCAGGGTTAGGACTAAAATAGCGCTAGTCATCTTCAAAGCAATAAGTGCGGCTGATACGTCGAGGCAAACAATGTTCGCTTTTCTGATTTATGCTGCAATCAGCAATTAGAATAAAGCAACGTATGTGATATATTGATTACGCTGTATGAGAACAGTTTTCGTAACTTTTAAACTCACAATCTTACAGTGTAACTATGAGAAGAGTGACTGTCGTCTCTTTACAAGAATTATTTACAGCTGAAAGAAATGAATGAGTACGTCGGGCAGTGTAGCCAGCCACCCGGTCACCCTGCGCGGAATGTCCTTTGTTGATGATTATATCTAGTTATCCGCGATGTAACCTAGAGTATGTAAGAGTTGAGGTTTACACGGCGGTGACTATGAAGAATGCCGTCTTCTTGGATGTAGCGCCATGTAGATCTTGTATGAACAGACGTTTCGGAGGAAATTATCGCCTCAATCTTCAGGGTAGAAAAATCCGCGAGCGAGAAACCAGCGTGAGTAGGTGGCTGCAGACTGAGTCACCTGCTCACGCTGGTTCATAGCTCGCAGATTTTTCTACCCTGAAGATGGAGGCGATAGGTTCCTCCGAGATGTCGGTTCACACAAGAGCTTCACGGCGCCACGTCTCAGAAGACGGCATTCTTTAAAGATATATTAGCTTGGAGGAAATAAAATATTCCAGTCAGATGAAGTTGCTTTAGTAAGGAGTCGGTTTCAGATCAAACGGAAGTTGAATCTTCATTGGGAAAAGAACATACACGTAGATACGAAAGTTATTATGCGGAAATAATATTCTTAACTATTGCTAAAAGGTGTACTAAAACGCAAAGTTTCGTAATTATTAAGATCTAAGTATGATACTGAGAGTTGCTTTTGAGTTGAGGCAGCAAATATATCGAATCAGTGTTACCAATAAAGGACAAAAGGTGAAGAGCAGCATGTCATCTGTTTTAGTAATGCACGTGTCATTTGTCTTTGCGAGAAGAAGGGAGATTTAGTTGCTGGGTCGTGTATAATACGTTGGCAATGCTGAAGCTCTGCTTTCTTGTGGCATATGAAGACTGGAGGGGGTAGGGACATCGGTTATGATAAGTTAGTTACTCAAGGTTAGGGCATGAAAGGCTTGCGTTTTGTGTCGTGTTGCGATGAGACCAGTGTCTTTTACGTGTGTGTTTTTTGTGCTGAGTGGTGAAATGATACATCGGAGCACGTAACCGGTTTCAATCATACAATATTTGGACGTCATATCTGCTAGGTTTTGCGCGGGATTGCGTTATTCTATTGTGAGTTATTTTTACCAGAGATTTTCAACTGTTAATTTTTATCTCTTGCTTGTATTTAAGTGAGTGTTAAGAGAGAGCGAAAGAAGATTGTAGGTTGAAACGAAAGTTCATATTAGACCTTATTATGTGTCTATTCGATCATGTGTTAGTATGTTACTATACGAAAGTTTTAGTAGGTCAGAATATTTTTGTTAGGGATTTTAACTGTAAAACACAAGGTTAGGACACGTTATATACGTTACTGTGGTGAGTACAGTTTATGTTTTGGGCACGCGGTAGCGTAGTTGTTTGAGGCACAATGAACAAGCTGGAAGATCGCGAGATCGAATCCCGATGAGGTGGATTTTTTTCAATCTACCCAACCCTTTCAGCCGCAATATGGCCTTAGGGTCGACTCAGCCTCTAACAGAAAAGAGTACCAGGAATATTCCTGGGGATAAAGGGTGGCCGGCGCGTAAGGCTGACAACCTCACCGCCATCTGTGAACCGACTGTCAAGAAATGTGGGAGCCTCAACGTCTCACAACCTTATGGGTCTCCACGGCCTGTTACAGGAATGCCTTTACTTAATTTT